TCCAAGAAAACCAAACACCCCCAGTGAAAAAAAAACCCAACCAAAAACCCCAAACAAAAACAAAAAAAAAAAAGAGATTGAGGCCAAATTCTGTGGAGATGTTTCACCACAGTCACTGCACTTTTATTCCATTTGTTTCATTCCATTTCCTACAGTGGGAGTGTTATCATGTTCTGTGTAAGAAATTACTCTTCACCCAGTTGTCCTAAAATTTTATTGACGTAAAAATATAAATCTAGTGAGTGACAGATGAACTTGTTTGCAGGGTGGGGAGCAGAATGCTTGTGTCAGGGAGAAAAGCTAGTTCAAACCAGAACCTACTGAATGAGAGTGTTTAAACAAAATACTACTTAAATCTGTAGAGAGTGGGCATGCACCCACGATATTGGTATCCACAGTCAAGAGTATGTACACATCCATCATGTATGCACATGCACATGACTCTCAGCATATACTATGTACACACCTCTGCTTTACTTTACTGTTTCTCATGGACACCTTGCCTATTAAAGGAATTGTTGGTGCGCAACTGTTTTGTGAGTTCCTAACTGACTAGCAGCTCTTTCTGCTCTTTATGGCTTCAAATATGCAGCAAAACTATATGAAATGAATCTTTGAATAGGCCAAATTAAGGTCAGTGTTTCTTCTACTGTTAAGGAGTTTTATACATCAAAACAGTCTTCTTTTACATCTTTTTTTGCCAAATCTTGTGGTGTTTCATGAAAAACCAAATTATATTTAAGAAGTAGGTTAGTGTTCCTTTTTTAATACAGATTTAAAAAATAAATCACAAAGCAATTTTTTAAATTATTGTTGTAGTGTCTGGATTGCTGAATGTGAAAGTTGCCAACGGACAATTCTGTTCCACTGCTCCAAATACCTTCTGGGTATTGTAATATTATAACAGATTTCCCAAGAAGCAGGAGCCATGGAGATTGTGTAGTGTATAACCTCAAGTCTTTTTTTGTTGGTTTTTAAAATTATTTTTTAAATGTGATGTGTTATTAGAAGGTTAAAGATGAGCGATATGAACAATAACTAAATGTCTTGTTATTTCAATTTAATAATTTAAATTATTTACAGTTTAGTGAAGTTAAGGAAACTGAAGAGATGCAATCCTCAGCTCCAGGTTTCATCTCATAAAGAAACACTACTGGATAACATTCCTGCAAAAGTTCGAATGCATAAGAAGCTCTGTGGGACTACACTGGAAAATCTCATATGGATTATATAGACCTGAGTCTTTGGTTCTTTCCCCTGCCATAGAAAAGACTTCTTAAAGACATCAGTGTAAAGTTGGTGTGTAAATAAATGTTTGATAACTGTAAAGCACATACGTACACAGAGACACAGACACACATGCACACTGGAAAATCACCTTCTACTTTTGTTCCCCTTATGTACTATGATTAGTGCAAGAAATCTCAGCCAAGGGCTCTAAGAAAATTAAAACAAAATGGTTAATAACATCAACATTTAAATTGTCCACTTCAAAAATAAATAATTCAAATGGTACTGAATGTGTCTATAGTGTGTTCATTAAGTAGTGTTACAACAGTTACTTAATTGGATAATGCTTGTGAAGTTTTCTTCTAATCTGTCTAATTTTGAACAAGATATTTTATCCCTGTACTGAAGACATGGGGTCCCTTTAAGCATTCCCTGCCGATTGTTACACCTGGAGAGTAGAGGCAAAAGAGAAAATGAGGCTCTGCCTTCAAAGTCTAAAGATGCACAGAGATCTGTCTGTCATGACACACAGAGAGTTTTTAGGTCTCACTTGTAGTGAAGAGCTGCTGCCTGCTTGGAATATTTGCACTCAGACTGCTTGGCTTAGCAAGTTTACTAATCTGTAAAAACTAAATCTGTACACAGTAATTGCTGGTACAAGTTCCTCTAAACTTTGTATACTATTAAATTGCTATAATTTACCTGGGAAATTGTGCAGTATTTCTAGTCTAATTTGCTTTTTTACATGTAATATCCAATTATTAGTTGGCTGAATTGTGGAAAAGGTGGGAAGTGAGTCAGGGCTCCCTTTTCCTATGAATGGCCTACTAGATATTGTGTCTCCTTCACCTCTTTCTTTCATTGGACTGTGGCCTATTCAGATTACTGAAAGAGGAGACGAGAAAATGCCAGCATTCATTGCAGCATAGCTTCAAAGTAAGAAAGCTGGATAAAACCAAAAGTGTAGTCAATTATCAGGAGGGTAACAAACACTTTATATTAAAAAGCAAATCTTTATTCAACTAAGAAGGTCTCTCTACCATAAGTATTAGACATGACAAAGAGGAGAACCTAGGACATTTTAACAAAGGCCCAAGAGGATTTCTAAAGGAAAGCAGCCAGATCCACTCCTCATTGAGAGAAAGCTATCCTGGAAAGGAGAAATTAAAGTGAAGCACCACCTGTGCTCCTACTTGACTTAAAATCAGAGGCATGGGGAGGAACAAAGAAGTAAATAATTATGTTTAAATAATCAAGTCACATAATTATGTTTTCTGAATAGCAATTTCTTGCTATTAACTCTCTAATAATTCAATTCCTATGATGTTTTTGATTTTAGTATTCTGAGTAATTCATGGTTACTCTGTTTTCTCTCTGAAGAATTCAAGATATTAAAATAAATTATGTTTTATACAGAGTTTTCTGTACAAAAAATTCTGATTGTGTAAGAAAACTGAGGCATAGCAAAGCTAGAACTAAAAAGTCTGTTGGCTGAAGACAGGTGCTGAAATTAAATCCCTTGACTCTTAGTCATCCACCTGGATAAATCATGCAATAAATTTGCATCTATTTTCTCAGTTCTCATTTTTATCAGTGATGTAGTGCACTGCCACCTGAAAGAGCTGCATTAATACAGCTGGGATTTCACTTCACCTGGGCAACAATGACATTCACAGAAGAGATGTCCCATCTGCTGCAGTAAGAATGCCATCTGTCCTTTCAGCATTTGCACTCCATACAGCAAAACAAGTTTTGAAGGGAAAAATGTATCCTTAAAGAGTCCTTATCCACACATTCAATTGGTTATGATTTTTCAAGGGTGAAAGAGTGGAGACACTAAGAGTCAGCAGTGTAGGAGAAAATATTATGTCTTGGACTCTTCCCAAATAGAGGTTCTGGCAAGCTTAAAAATCCATTGCCCCATCCATTCCACCTCAATCTTTGCCTAAAAGGATTAAGTACCCATAAATGGCAGGATAGGTAATGGGCAAGTGTTAATCACACCATAATAAAAGATATTTTTTCCTAGAACTATTTCTGCAGTTGTTATTTCCGAGGTCATTCATCATTGCATAACACCCTTTCACTAACATTATCAACTGTAATATATGTCAACTAATTGTTTTTATAAAGAGAGGAAGTTTTGATATTAATTTCTTTAATATTCCTAATTTTTTCCTCCTGCTGGCCCTTCTCTATCTTCTATCCTACTGAACACATATATCTGTCTAATTTTGTCTTTCTTCTGCCCGTTAATTTTTTTTCACTAAGTTGTTGTTCATTCTGGAAATGTTACTCTTCAGTGTTCTCCCAGTCTTTGTGCATTCTCCCACCTTTTGGTTTTTAACTATCCCACAGTTCCTGGAAGATACTGGTACACGTCCTTAAATTAAGGAATCAAAAATACTCGGAAAGTGGATTTGCTCAAAATAACCACATTTTCCAAAATTATTCCTGTTTGGAGAAAGACCAGGTGGCCTGGCATAGAGCTAGCTGGAGTCACTGACACTTCCCAGTTAAAACAGCTACACTTCATGCCAAGGGCACGTACAGTTTCTGTTCCTTTTTGTCTAGCACAGAACATGTTGCTTTATTGGCCCTGCAAATTACCTGAGCTCTAGAGAACAGCACAAATAGAGCTGAGGAGTGCTGCAGTAGTTGCTGACCTCCTCCAGCTGATCCAAGGTACATCTGTTACCCTAGGACAACACCCTATCTCATTTTCTGGATGTGAGATGTAGAAGTGAATGCAAAGAGAAAGACAGTTTCTTGGCTAGCTGAAAAGGGCTGAATTACCAAGAAGACACTATTTCTGTATCTGTAATGTGTCAAATGAATTATGTCAGGCCTTGTGACTCTTACTACTTACTGGAAAATATTTGTGGTTAGCCATGATACTTCCCCAAATTGCCTCACAGCAAAAAGTTTTGCACCTTTTAATTTTCCTTTTAAATTGCCCTCCATATGTGAGTCTATTCTACATTGACACAATTCTGCTCCAGGATTTATCTTCCAGCATGTATACAGGCATGTATATTTTATAGATACATTATATTTTTATCTAAATAAACAGAATACATGGCTCAAAAAACCACCTTTTTCAAGAGCAATTACTCAGAGCTGCTTTTACAGACTTTTCCATACTGATCTTCACCAAGTTGTTTAGCCCAACGTTATTACTATCCTTCATATTATTGAAGATTTTAAAAAGGATTGCTTGCAAGTAAAAAATACATCTTTAGATTTTTCAGAATTCATGTACAATTAGTAAGGCTCTAAGCTTTCATTTAATTCTTTTTAAGCATCAGTAATGAAACTGAATTTCTCAGACAATATACTTTGCTATGAATTTAAACAGCATGGCTTTTTAACTGATAATTTCTACTGAAATTTTGTTTTTAAAAGCATAATTTTTATCAACTGGAAGAGAAGTTTAATGTTCAGATTAAAACACTTATGAAACAAATGCACTGTGATGAACAGCTGATCCACACCTTGAACAGAAGGGAATAAGTGAAATTTTGATGCAAGATTCTGAAATACTAATTCAAGCATGCAGTGCACTCTGTCTTGAGCAGGTGGCCTTAACGTGCATAAAACCTAAGAAAGTTAACTAAGGAAAACTAAGATAAGCAAAAATAGACAAGATACTGGTTTAAAATATGAGTTTCAAGGGAAACAGAATAAATTAAATTTGGAACATAGGTGAATTAACCTGATTTCCTCTCTGCGTTGTCTATGCGAGTACTTAACTGCTTAAAACCTCCTACCTTCAGGTAATTTTGCCAGCATGTCAAAAATCTGATGGGTGTTCTTCCGACAGATGTCTACTGGATCATCCAGGAGCCCGGCGAGGGCAGAAATGACTCCACTTCGTATTAGCCCTTCCCTAAAACCAAAAATGGAGGACAGATTTAGCACAACATAATAAAACTTGCATATGTTTGAGATATTTAATCCTCACTCACTGTTCTTCTTTATGCTGCATCTGTCTGACAAAACTTAGGAGCTCAGTTCTTATTTCTCACTGAAAAATCACTTCCCTCACAGTTCAGTAAACTTTGGAATTGCACCTACCTGCCAATACTATGCAAAGCCATTATAGAGAGAACTTCTGTTGTTTTTTGCCGGACAGTTTGGTCTTGATGCACCAGCAAAGTCTTCAGGCTAGCCAAGAATCCTATGAGACATCAGAATTCATGTTAACATTTCTTACTCCAGCATTAATTTGAAATAACAATATTTATCATTTATCTAACAATTTGAAGTGCCTCAGAATTTTCAGCTTGTCCTGACAGTGAAATTCTCATTGTCATATTTCAAGTAAGGAAGAAACTTCCAAATTTCAAGGCCTACTGCCAAAAATGTCACGCTACAAACAAGCTCCTGACTCCTTATCAAGTTAAATCCTAATCCTGCAAATATAAAGTGACATTACTCTAAAAATAAGTCAGTAAAGCTATTGATGTCTTTAGAAAAGCATGTTTTTGCAGGATTGACACTCACTTGTCTTTTTTGAACAGAAATAAATGTGGTGAACCATTAATGATTGTGTATGCACATATGGCACTCACCAAAGCCAAAAACCTAACAACCCCAAACTAACAACAATCTCACATTGCTTTGGCAATCAACTGATCATCAAACATTAACTTAATAAATTTTGAACATGACTAGTCTCTTTTATGAGGGGAAAAAAGTACAAAGGAAGTAAATGGAGAAAAAAGCAATAGCAAACAAAGATTTTTTTTCTGTGTTATACAATGAGCTATGTAGGTATACCACAGACTGCTAAAAATTGCAAAAATTAGCTTGTGGTTAGGGGCTTTTCCCCCCACAAAATCAATACTCAGGATTCTTCCAGGCTTTCAAAAAGTTGTGGCCAGATGTAGTCTTGATGAGTAAGATAAATTTGGTTATATTCCTTTCTTTTCTAATTTCTCATTAAGTTCCAGGCAAGTGGGTGATGATGGTGAAGGGGTTCTAACTTTGAACCAATTAGGTGGGAGGTTTTTTATTAGCCTATGTTAGGAATTAGCTAAAATCAGAATAAAGTCTGGGGACATGGTTTAGTGGGGATCATGGCAGGGCAGAGTTACAGTTGAAGTGGATTATCTCAGAGATCTTTCCCAACTTTAACAATTCTATGATTTTATGGAAAGAAAGATTCTTCACTACTTTTGTATTTAGGGGTTGATAAAACTTACAGTGAGCCAGTGATGAATCCTAAAGTGATGATAATTCTCATAATAACTGTCATGTATATGGTATTATAACATTCTTTACCTTTCTAAGGTGATTTTACAGTAAAACAAAATGGAAATTTGTGGCAAGCACGTTTCTCTCACTCTCAGTATTTTTCGTAGAGGTGCACAGAAAGAAATGAAAAAGAAAACAATTCCTATTTCTGCTCCTTGTTTTTCCTATGCTGAATGTGTTTGGAGAATTGTTTACCTGGAGTGAGTGCTTGATTGAATTCTGGTGAGGATTGTTTGAGCCTGAGGGCCAATCCAACCCACCTATTGCTGGACTCTCAGGAGAGGGTCACAAGTTGTGTTAGAGTTAGAGAAAGTAGTACGTAGTTTTAGTATCTTCCTTTTTATATAGTATATTAATGTATTTTAGCATAGCTATAATAAAGAAATCATTCAGCCTTCTGAATTGAGTCAGACATCACCATTTCTTCCCATGGGTTCACCTGCATTTACAATAGAAATTTTTCCTGGGTATCTTGCATCATCAAAGATATTGTAAGGAAAAAGTAAGGGAAGAAAGTGGAGTTGCCCCCTCAGCCTGCTCCAGTGTGTCATTGCTAGTGAGAACAGACCACTTACCTAATGCTATTGCCTGGTAGACTTTTTCTGGGTCGTGGACCAGATCGCAGAGAGCCATCAGCGCCCGCTGCTGCGTCAGCAGCTCAGCAGACTGCAACTCCTCATTCAGTTTAGGAAGGGCCCTCCTCCCAAAGGCCAGAGCAGCTTTGGTGGGGTCTATATCAGGCGGGAGGTAGGCTGAGATACGAGGCTGTGCCATCCCAAATCTTCCTGAGAAAGATTCTCCCTATTCCTAAAAATAGTTCAAAATGGCTGTACTTGCTGACTGGGCAGATAATGTACCATAAAGACACCTACTGACTTTAAACAGTGCTCTGTGTCCCCAAGGAGCTCTTTTAGCAAACATACACTGTCAGAAAGCTGTGAAAGAGGCTGGACTCGTGCATCATCAGCACTAATGGGTGTTCATCTGCTGAATTGTCTTAATCTGGTTTAATTCTCACTGAACACTGTAAAGAAAAGAGAGAAGAGATAAAGCTTAAAATTTCAAGGATGGTGTTAAAATTGATAGACAGAATGCTTTTTAAAGGATTCAAGTGAAGCAGCCCAGTGCCCAAAATCAGAGGGGACTCAAAATAATAAAATTAAAGCAAAGGAAAACGAAATACCTTTTCTTTCCCAAAGGGAAGAAAAAAAAAAAAAAAAAAGCGCATTTTACAGGGATCTGGTTAAAACCTGCCCTCAAAATTCGGTAACGTTTGATAGACTACGTGAGGGCTGCCTCCCCCTCACCGCCCTTCCCTCAGTACGGAAAGCGCCTCAGCTGATTGAACCCTACGACCTCCAATATTGAAAACGGCTGACAGCAAAAACAAAACCAAGAGTTAAAACAGCGTCTAAACAACTCCACTTCTCCCTTCAAGGCAAACGAAATTACTAAATAATCGAAGGCGCCGTGTGCCATTACCGAGCCCCGGCTGCCGCCCCTCAGCGCCGGCCGCCGTCAGCGCGCGCGTGCCCTGGTTGCCACAGCGCCCGCTCTTTGCGTACGGGCCTCTTCGTGAATAGCGACCAACGCCGCCGAGCCCCGGGTCCGGCTGCGTCACCAGCGTGAGCGCCGCGTTTGACAGTGCCCGCGCCGAGGGGGTTACGTCAATGGCGTAGTTGGCGGCGGGGCGGGCGGGCGGAGGCGCGGCTGCTGAGGGGAGCCGTGAGGGGACGGAGGTGCCGCCGTGAGGGGACGGAGGTGCCGCCGTGAGGGGACGGAGGTGCCGCCGTGAGGTCCCGGAGTGGCGGCCGTTCTGCCTCGGTGTGCAGGCTCTGTCCTCACCCCGTGTTTTCAAAGTAGTTTTACTTGAACAAAAATCAGGAAAATTCAGAGCGAACAAAATGGTGGTCGAGTTAAGGGTTAGAAATACAGCCGGCAAGTGCCTTGGGGTAGAAGGGCTGAAGGGACCGCAGTAGTTTTGGACTAGGTTTTCTTTCCTAATCTTCTCCAGAATGTCACTATGAACAGTTAGAATGTGTAGTAAGGGTTTCCATTATTACTTAGTACTTCAGGGGAAGGTACACGGGAAGAACGGATCATTGCAATGTTGTGGCACAATTTATCACAGTTCTGGATTGTCAGATGTTATCTGGCATCACGGAAAAAAACTCTGAACAGCTTGTGCTATAAAAAGATAGTGCATATAGTGAAGTCGTTGAGATATTTTTCATTATGTCTGAGTAACAATTGTAATAATCAAAGTTCTTTGGATTTTACAAATCCAAAGTAATACTGATCAGCCGGATTAAAATGCATCACAGGAATAGGTTCTGGTTTGTTGATCTTCAAAATCCATAAAAGAAAAATTGCTACTTTAAAAAGGAAAGGATTCATTTTTCTGCAACATTTTAGAGCTGATTGTTTACTTTACAGGTGATTTACCTGAATTAGATTAGACTTCCACTATGTACTTGTAAAAATTCACCTGATATCCATAGGAAGAACATGAACTTTTCTCAGTGGCAAAAGAGCAGGACCAAATCAGAGACTTGTCCCTCAGTGTTACTTCTGCTTTTGGTGTGAGTTGTTCTGTCTTGTACTTCACTTTAGCTTGGAATACTGATTTTGTTAGTAGTCATGATGTTAACTTATTTTATGTATGCCTTCTGAATGCCTTCCTCACATCTTTTGTCTATCCACAGAAACTGCTGGCACTACTGTTCCTGCAGTGTCGAGATAGAGAGGGTTGTAATGCCATGGAGACACTGTGTTCTCATCCCTCCCTGGTGACTGAATCCCCTTTCAGCTCTTTAAGAAGAGAAAATATGCATAATTCTCAGTATTTTTAGCAGGTTTTTATTTCTTAAATTCTTTTCCTGTAATGGTGTGTCTTACTTGTTGATATGGTAAATTTGGATATGCTTATGTGCATGTGAGATTTAGATTAAATACATTAAGTATAAGTGAAGATGGCCTCTGAATTTTGAAATGTATCTTTGTGGTTGCCCTGGTCCCTCCTGTACTTTGCATTCACTGAGATGGTTGACCTGTGGTTTTTGTAGTTTAGTTTGTAAAAGAGCTCTAGGAGAGGAGCAGTGAGTCAGTCTGTGTACACATGACAGGTGTTTACCAGGCTTAGGAGGTGCTGAACTACGACTAGAACATGCAGAAAGAAAGTTAGTGTTTGAAACCCTTACCAACTCATGGAGTTTTTGTTTTCAGAACTATACTAATAGTTCTGACATTTAATTAAGACATTAATTGCTGTAAAATCATTCAAGCTGGCCAGAAGGGCAGGAGCACAGCAAAACAAGAGTCTAGATCTCTCAAGTTTTATATGGTCACAAGTAGCCTAAGTAGAACTCTCCATATGATAATAGATAAATACTGTAATGTCACCTTCTTTGGTGAATAACCCAGCTACAAATCTGGGTTCTTTGTGGGAAAGTGGCTGTCTTGGTACAGTTGAGATCATATTTGTGCCTGAAGGGATTTAAAAGCAATTCCTCATGGAGGAGAATAAAACATTAATTCTAAGTAGTGGACTAGTTATTCTCTAAAGCATTATTCTTTATGCGTGCTTGTAAAACACAACTCTAGAGTTTTTTTCTTCTGTACTTGCTCACTGTTTAAAACTACTGGTCTACGTTGATGTGCCCTTTAACCTTTTTAGTCTGCTGCAGAAGTGGGAGAGGCTTGTCTCCTGGTTCAAAACCTCTTCCAGCTTTATCAAATATGACTGTTAGAATGGAACAGCTTTATTTTCTCCTGAAAGTTGAAAATTTAAATCCTAATAAAATACATAAGCAAAATCTTTTAGCATCCTAAGTTGCACTCTGGCTTACTAAATGCTGTCTAAATTACTGAGTTAATTGACAATACCTAGGTAATGAAAAATGGCTATGTAATTCTTATTCTTTGTCTTTGGTGTTTTTTTACATTAGAAAGCAAGATTATTAATGAGTAGAAAGATATTTATATAATTCAGAATGTCTCATTAGTGGCATGCGCATTCTGACTTTAAAGCTGAGATGAAGTCAAGTTGAAATGCTGAAAAAATCCCTTGGGAGTTTCTTTATAATTGCTGCTATGCTTAATATTAGCACTGTGACAGTTCCCCACTCCATTGGTTCCTTGTCTAATAGGTTAATCCTGCTCTTTGTATCCATGTATACAACCATATTTGAAGAAAATGGAACTATTTCCTTATCCAGGATTAGGGACCATTTGGTTTATTGAGGAGCAGTTTCTGATCAAAGGAATCTGTATGACCACTAAAACGAATTTGTTGTTTTAAAACTACTGCTCTGTGTATGGTTAAATTACTCCATCTCCGCCTTCCCGGTCTGTGGAAGAAGGGGAGGAAGGGAATTGTTGCAAACCTGTTGCTATGGCCACAGAGCAGGGCTGGGCTGCTTGTGCGGCTGGAATCCTGCTGCATCAGCTGCTGCTTGGTGAGTCCTTCCTTACACTTTGCTACAAGATGAAAATGCTCCCATTAGAAATGTTCTTTTGAATGCCAGTAAGAAATCTGTACCCTAATAAGGGTCCCCTCCCCCAGCAGCCCACGAGGTTTCCTTACATAACCAAATTGATGTATCTCAGGTGAGACATCTGAATGCATTTGTGATTTTCTTGTGAACATTATTCTTTTCCCACGTCAGACAGATTTCATTTTTTCTGAGATGATCTTGCTTTCTGAGACGAAAGTCTGATGTTGTGCCAAGAAACATGGCAGTTTCATCTTTCCTCTCTTCTTCTTCTGACCACATGAAATCTGGGATTCCCTAACATTAATTAATGCACTTTGTGCAGAGGCATTTGAAACAATGATGAGCAAGATTTTTAAATTAAACACTGCAGAATCCTTTGAGGGCTAAACTGCAAGCACTTGGGTTAAATTGTGTGAGCAATTCGCTGCCCTCCCAGGGAATTAGAGTTGGTGCCTTGTAGTTTCAGAAGGACACTGTTGGCTACTACAGCTATGTACACTGAGGTGGTCCTGTTTACATGAGAAGCAGCTTTCCCTCCATGCAAACTGAGTTGAAGAACCACCAGTTCTTCAACTTTCTTTCAGCTGTATTGAAAAGATAAAAGGAAAAAAAAAAAAAAAAAAAAGACAAGTCTGCCAGTCTGCCAGAACTTGGTTAGTCTTTATCATGTTGTCCCTGTATTGAGGCAATTCCTGAATACTGTGTTTCTCTTTATGTATTTTCAGACTTTTAGAATTTAACTGAACTTGGAGAATGAAGTCCAACCTAATGCATTTGGTTCCCCCAGTGAGTAGAGGAAGAATAATCTCCCAGTTTCCCAAGGTAAGCATTTTTTATCCCTGTGGTCACAAGATGTAGCCCCTGCTACACTGATCTATCTTTCCATTGTGCTAATATGGTATTTTAATTTAATGTACACTTGTTGTCTTCTGTTAAAATTGTAAATTATTTAAGATTCTTTCAAAGTTTAATGTGACTTCATAGTCCCATTCAATGCTGATCTCTTTAATAACAATCTTCATTCTTCTTTCTAACCTTTACAAAAAGTGACTCTTGTGACAGAAGTATTATCTTACAATATTTGGGGTTTTTTTCAGCAAAACAGTAAAAATTACATGCATAAGAACTCCAAGACTGAGGGCAAAGAGGAACCAGAGCTGACATTAAATTTGCCAAAAAATCTAATTAGGAGTCTTAGGTTAAAGAATTTAAGGCAATTTTAATTTTCTGTTTGTTCAAGAACCTTAGTCATACAGTAGATCAAAGGTAGTAGGCACTGTAGAAACACAGACATAATACCTTTGATGTCCCCAAAGACTTTTGTATTTGAAGTATAATAGAACAGTTAAGGACAGGGAAGGGCAAGGAATTACCACTTGTTTTTTTCAGTTGTTCAAAAGATCCTTTTAAGGGAGTTCACTTTTTATTTTTTTATTTCCATTCTTGATCTCAGCCATATATTTTGCTTTTAATTTTATGAAAAATACCACAGGTATTTTAAGCAAATACAAGGTAAAATGTATTTTTCTCATTTTTAACTAATTCCCAGTTAAAGAGTTAGCAATAAAAACAGTGCTTCACACTTATAAAAGATTGAAAAAACTTCACAGTAATAATGACTTGCTGGTGGTATGCTCCCATCCGTGTTTGTCTTTTGTGTCAGATTGCTGGGACAATTGAAGGCACTTTCTCACCTGAGATACAGAATTGTGGCAGCAGCTCCCTGGCCCCAGAGAGCAACAGACAACTTTCTCAGGCCTTTCTGGAAGAAGTCTGTGAGAAGATCAGAGAAAAGAAGGAGAAACAATTATTATCTTAACTTGCTGCACCTGTTGTTGTGAATATGTGGAATGTGTTATGGAGATTTGTTTACCAGAGGGTGGTTTCTTAATTAGCCAATGGTGATGGTGTTATGATTGAAGGACCAATTAGGTCCAGCTGTACCATAACTGTCTATAAAAGCAGTGGGTTTCTTAATAGTGGTATATATAATAAAGACATTGATCAGCCTTCTGTGAATCAGGGAGGCAATGCTAATTATTACCCAGCCAGGGCCCACTGCAACAACACAGAATGATGAGCAAATGGATTCGGCCATGGGTGCTTAGGCAATGCTGGACGCTGACACTCAGAGAGGTGCTCAAAGGATGGTGTTGTCCCATGGAGGTTTTACAAATACACCTCTGGGGAAACCTTACTGCCTTCTAACCCAACCTACCCCTTTTCTTATGTCAGGAAAACCCTGTTCTTGAACAATCCATTTATCTGTTTTTCCTTGCCAGTTTGACTTCTTGCCAAGTAGCCATCACCCAGTTTGTCCCAGCAGCTGCTCTCTCTTTTCAGTGGTACACACCTGAGGCCTGTCTGCAGTTTAAAGAGCACTTCCATGCACAGGTCAGGACTGCTTGTCAGCAGAGCGCTGGAGCAGATGGGTAAGTTTGTAATAACACAGGTATGCAAGGAAGAAAATATTTTAAGCTCCTTATAGCCTCCTTTCCTCATTGGCTTCCCCTCCCCATTCCTCATATTCCTCACTCCAGTATGTTTCAAGGCAGCTAAGCCCCTGCATAGGACAGTTCTCTGACCTGGTCCACAGTACATGAATTGAGTGCCTCTTCTGCTGGGATAGGTAGCTTTGAAAAAATGGTGTAGTAGTTTAGAAATGAAAAGGTTTTTAACACCGTTTAAATAAACGCTTAGTTCAAAAGATCTAACAGATTCAGCCTTCTGTGTTCTCTGCAGGTGTTCCAAAGGAGTAGTTAATAAAGGCTTTGGAGGGATATAAAGGCAGCAGTTCTAAGTTTCTTGAAAAATCTAGGAATCTGGTTTTAGCCTTTTTGAAGTATACATGCTGAGAAGTTCTGTTAAAATGTTTCTTAAAACTGGAGCAAAATTCTGGTAAATTTATAGCATTTAAAAATCATAATAAGCTGATTTATACTCTACTAATAATCTTGAAATTGGTTTTTTCCCCCTGCATTATCTCTCCACCAGAACTGTTACTATTATTGATTTAATCTCTGAAGCAAGGCAAGAAAGCTAAACTGTGTTGAAATCATCACTAGTCAGTTAAAATAAATAACTGTACATTTTAGTGATAAATACTTCTGGTTTCAATGTGAAGGATCCTCCATAAATTGGAGCTCCTATGAATACTGACAATTAGCTCACTATTCCCCTAGCTCTAGAGTTGCTGACATGAGACTTGTCATGATATCCATCTTTAAATGCAACTTTATATTCATTTCACTAGGGAGTCTTACTAAAAAAAAAAAATTAAATGAAAATATGTCACCCTGAGAGACATCAGTGACTTTATCCCTTTTTTAGAAACACAGTCACTATCTTAGTTTCATGTAAATGTCTTACAAGCGTCTGGACAATTTTCCAAGTAAGACATGCTTTATTGAATTGAGGTATTTTTTCCTTCCATTTTCAACATGTATTTGTTTGGGATTTTTATTATTAGGGTTTTTTTTTTTTTAATGTAGTTATACAACTCTCTATGTAATTTATTCTGGTAACAGAGTATAACTAAAAAGCTATATGTTTTGTCTTTGTGAATAAAATTAAACTACTTTTCTGTCACTGCTTTCTAGATATGATTATTATCTGGTCATTTAGGTCATTTTTTGGTGGAATGGGGGTAGGAAGGGCAGCCAGAGTGTTTTGTACAGTACTTGTAAAGCTTGACTGGAATAACCATTATCTTCCTTTTCCATTACCCCAACTAATAAATATTTCTTTGTCATTTGGAAGGCTAGTCTGATGAATTCAGCAGTTAATGGCTTTATTTAATACTCTCCTGATAGTCCATCATTGTGTTAAATGGTCTGATCAAGGGAGTTTTTTTCCCCCAGTACAAATTAATGGAACACACACCTCTAAAGTACCACTTACTCTTTACCTTTTCCCTTAAGTTTGTTGATTTTATTTAGTGTTTTCTCGGTAACAGTAATCAGGAGCACAGGGGCCTGTGGTCACCCAGTTAATGTTGACTGGTACATATAACTTTTTTTTTTTTTTTGAAATATTAGTCATGCAGTTTACCAGTCAATTTTTCAGCTATTCAGGATAGATAACTTAGAATCAGCATCACATGGAAGTTGATGTAACTAGAAATAGTATTCAATAGAAGATTAAGTCCTTTGTTAAAAAGCCATTCCATAATAGAAAAGAACATTAAACCTCTTAAGCCATTTTTATAGCATTTGCACAGGAGATGTCAATCCAAGTTTTGGTCAACAAATGAACTTAAATTCACTTATCCACCTGGATCTCCTAAAATCTCACAGTTTCAATTTTAAGAATGCAGGCTGAGTCACCTAAGGCCCATCTGCTATATCCTGTGGGAGAACCTAGAGCAAAGAGGATTATTTGCATGAAGTCAGGTTCAGATTAATATTATTCCAGATAGTCAGAAAATGTATTGGCTCTAACCCTGTGAGTTGTTTTTCCCAGAGGCACATTCTGCAGTGTGTTCTTTTATGATCAACAATTTTTTATTTCTGCTCTTAGGACTTCATTTGTACTATTAAAGTCAATGAGAAACTTGGGATAAATTGGAATGCAAAGGATGTAGATACACTATGGTCTTATGTGTAAACTTATGTAAAATTATGCCAAATGCATATACTTGTAGTCAAGCAATTTTAATAGAATAAAATTTGTTCCACTGAATTGAAATTAAGGAAAAAACAAACTAACCAGAGTAAGAAATTGAGAGTTTCTGCTCCAGAAGGGTTTGGTTTTTGGTGGTTTTCTTTCTCGTAATTCAATACTCTGATCGTGCAGCACAGTGGCACATAGATAAATTGAAATCACAGGTACATGTGCTCCTCACTTGCTATTTAAAGATCTAAATCAGAATTTTTAGCAGGAGACTGTGAAATTACTACTAAAACGATGTAATATTTTCAAATATTTATAACAGGCTGAAAATATCCAAAGTGGTTGTGGTAGGAGACCTGCATGTTGGAAAAACAAGTCTTATCAACAGGTACAGTATATCTCAGCTGATAGTTTGATTCTCCTGTTTCTCAAATAAATGTTATAATGTTTCCATTGCTGGCTTTAGAGCAGTGCTTCTTGGCCCTGGTTTGAATCTGAACCAGTACTTTGTGGTTTTCTTGAAGACAAAATGAGGTCAAGAGTATGCCACAGTCTTGATACATGAACCACAGAAAGTTGTGCTCTAGCAATTCAGTCAGTATATGTTACATTCTCAGGTATTTTTATCCAGTCAAATATGATACAGTGCTTTCTTAAGGAATCTAGTCTAAAGGCTAAACAATTAGAAAACAATTTCAGTGTCTCAGTCTTGGTTTCATTTGCGTCATTATTTACAACCCAAAATATATTCCCTTGTAACTAAAACTGAAGATACTGTACCTCCCTTGAAAGCCCAAAGATGTTTTGTGCCGAGTCTCATATTATCCTGAGAGCTTACTAGATATATGTGCTTTCTAGTTTATTAACAGTATCTCCTTTTCTTTTAGTTAGTGTCTTTATGTTTTTATGTCTGCTTCTACATTATATAGTAAATCCACAGTTAGTTTTTCTTTTCTTCATAATTTACCCTAGACAGTGTTAGTTTTGCAGCTATTTGTACTTGTCTTACTAGTATTTAATCCTCTGTTTTTTCAATTGTAGATTTTGTAAAGATAATTTTGACCGAGACTACAAGGCGACCATTGGAGTAGATTTTGAGATTGAACGTTTTGAGATAATTGGAATACCATATAACCTCCAGATGTGAGTTGAAAGAGCATGGTTAAGCATTGCACAGAGTACAGTCTCAGCAGAGCTTGAATTGCTGCAGGCTGTAGTGGAATAAAGGTTTTAGAAATATAATACAATTGCACAAAGAATAATGTGATGTGAAAAAAAGATTCTGTCTCTGGAGTTGCAGTTTTAGTAGAAATTTGACTCTTGGATTTCTTATGCCTAAAAAAATTGCAAGCTTGTAAATGAAAATTCATCTTGGATGTCTTTCACTATTTCAGTGGAGTTCTGTCATTTTTAGTCAACATTCATGAAAGAAGTGGAAGCTTTTGTCACAGCCACCAGTGCTTGTGTAACCTCAGTCTGTGATTAGAGTTTAGTAGGCACAGTGAGCACTGAACTTGTCTTTACTAGGGGTTTTATTCCTGCAGTTATCAAAATTAATAAGGTGTCCAGTGATTTCAACAACTATTAATTAGCAACTAATTAATTATCCCTAAATCATGGAAAGGCTGGAGTGCTTTTATTAGAATGTGAACCTAATATCTTTGATTTTCAACTTTGCTTGTCAGACTAGTGGGAATCCTGCCCTTTTTCCACCTGCTTTGGGTCTGTGGAGTGATATCCCTTTGTGTTTCTGGTGGCCAGAAACATTGTTCTGTAGAGGGCATTATGGAATCATCTGTAATGTAACCTAGTGCAGAAATAAGATGCTTTGCATGAGATATTTTAGTGCATGAATTTTAAAAACCTTTTTACTTAGGAACACTTTTTTCCCGGTGAGATCACTGATGTAAATAGATGGCTCGTGGTATTTATTGAAAAATCCATTTCCCACTGATTTCACTGCAATTGTCTTTGGGAAGTTTTGTCGGTTGCTATCCTTTTGGAACTTGAGTCCCTCTAAAAATCCAGACTCGTGCATCAGCGTTTTGTGAGCTGAAGCAATAGGGTCAGGTTGCAATATCTGCAAAGTCTTCACAAGCTGGATAGAACATTTCCATATGATAAGCACTAGTGCCCCCTCTTGCTGAGAGATTTCCATACAAGATATATTTGCAAGTATCCATGACTGGCAGCACAAAGCTACAACAAAACCCAAACCTCTGTAATGCTGGCAGTATCTGAAGGCACTGCATATCATGTTCATTAATGAGAAGGACGTTCTTGATTTTATGTAATGGTGTCATTAGTACCTGATGGACTGAGCTACAGGTCTCTAATTTGTAGTGTAGAGACAGATAGCTTAACTAGCAGTTGCAAGAGTCTAACATGGGCTAATACATGACTTAGCTAGTATTAGCACAGAAAATTTACAAAACTAGATTGCCCTAGAAATACATGCAAATTACATAGGTGAAAGAAAAAGAAAATGTTTTAAGGAAAGGACATTACCATGCAGAATACAAATATTTGAATTGTCTCCGAAATTATTAGTATCTTTTAAGAAAAGGTACAAATGGTGTTTGCATGTCTTCATTGACTAATAGAGCCTTACTATATTTCTATCAGCAGTTAATGAATAACATGTTCCAGATGGTGACACTTCTCTGGTATCACATTCTTCTCCGCCTTGTACCAGTCTGCTGCTTCATTAACATGTTTACTCAGGTTACCCTGGGTTTCATTAACCTGAAATTTCTTTTTTCCCCCTGTTGCACAGATGGGACACAGCAGGTCAGGAGAAGTTCAAGTGCATTGCATCTGCTTACTACCGAGGAGCAGAGGGTGAGAGCAATATTAATTTGATCCTGCTTTTGTTAGGAGGCTGTATTTTGTACAGCAACCTATATCCATATATGCTCCTTGGGAAGGTACCTAGAGACACACTGTGGTGGAATGGATTGCTCTTTGTTGCAAGGAAGAAGGGATGAAGAAGTTAATGACTTGATGTGTTGTCACGTCTGCAAGCTCTGAGTGTTCTGATGATGCAGTGATAGAAAGTGGCACTTGTGACTAGGGGGGAAAGAATTTGAGGTCGGGTGAGATTAATGCTGGAGCTGGAAGTGGATATTTCTGGTTTTCCCTTTGCTAAGAGACAATCCTGTGGTAATTTGTGGTCCCAAAATGAAAGGGTTGATAGCGCTATAGACTGCAGACTATAGATATCCTGTTGAAGACTAAGGACTTAGGTCTTATTGGGTGCTAGAAAAAGAAAAAGAATGAGCAAATGGATAGTCTTCCACTTCCTATGTGTTAAATCTGTTCTTACACCTTATACATAAACATTCTCTCTGTTTAACAAGACAGGTTGGAGAGACTTCTGATACACTTTCTAATTTAATTACATTTTTTTCTGTCCTTGTCTTTTATTGCAGTTATAATAACAGTGTTTGATCTGGCTGATATCCAAACTTTGGATCACACCAAGTAAGTTTCTGCATCTTGGCTTATCTTTTGAAGGTTTTTACAGCAGGTTTAATTGCCTTCCATATGTAGGTGTTAAGAGCTTGCTGGATCATGAGCTCTTATTGAGCTAAGAAATTAAAAATGACAGTTACTAGTTTGGATTACATAGGGAGGGATTTTTCTGAAGAAAATGCAGAACATAAATTTGAGCTGCTTACACTTGACTCCCTTTAAAGTCAGTGCAGAGAGAAAGGCATTTCAGTAAAATCTTGATCCTTCCAAAGCTAGACATGCAGGAAAATATGAAGTGCACTCCAAAAGCATTTTTTTACTTCATATTTATTTGATATAAATAGAATAACAGGCTGGAATCTAATGTAAATGAAAAAACTGATGAGATGCATCTCGTGCATAATGTCTCATGAGTCTTTCATTTTTTAGGTGCACTCTTATCCCCAATTTTTTTTTTCTCTGGTTTCTGTGATTCTGATGGGATATAGGCTGTCAAAAAGAGGAGAGGAAATAAAAACCTCAGGTTTACATACAGCTAAACTTACTAGTTCAGATCCTTGTAATGATTTGGTTACAGCAACACAATAATTGTTATGAGTAAACTCATTCTGCTTTTAGTGCAGGCTGCAAAACCCTGCATGGATCTATGATCCACACTGCTGTCACAGCTCAGAGAATATGTATTTCTAATGTGCTGTTGTGGCTGCAATGTAGGTACAGACTTCTTTACAACCTGTACTCTGTCTTATTTGAATGTGTACTATGGTGCTTAGCTCATTTACATAGGACTTTGTAAAATAATATATATATTAGTGTCTCTGCTTGGCTGAAAGTAATTGAAGCCTGTGAACCTGATTTCCCACACACGCACACACTCCCTTCCCTCCTTGACTTGTGTTGGATGACTCAAGAGAAACTTGATTGCCAGAGTAACAAGAATATAAAAGCTTGTGAGACAAGAATCATACAGCCTTCATAGGGAGCTGTTTTATAATGCTGAATAGATTATTTCACTCTTTATTCCCATTTGTATCTAACCTGCTATGTGGTTCATACCTTTTCAGTTGCTTCTTGCTTTCTTATTCCTTATTTGCACCAAACTTTGCCCTCTCCCTTACACTGAGAAGTAGGCTCTCTGGGTGCTAAAATGATTGTTGAATTTGTACTCTGCCATGGGTATGATTTTATGAAGAAAAAAAGGCTTCTGATACTCTCAGATAAGTTCTTCCACTCAGTTTTCTTGTGACCTTATTACCTGTCATATTCTCCTCCTGTACTCCTTGTTCCCTCTGACTGATTCAGCCTTTTTTTTTTTGTTTGTTTGTTTTTGGTTTGTTTTTTTTTTTTTTTTTCAGGCAGTGGTTAGAAGATGCATTGAGAGAGAATGAGCCAGATTCTAGCTTCATCTTTCTGGTTGGAACAAAAAAAGATTTGGTGGTGAGTAAATTGAGTGCAGATAAGGAAATCAGATTTTCCCTAGTTCCTCAAGCGACTTCCCTTGCAAGTTGTTCACAATGTCATTGAGATAAAGACCTTGAGTGAAAAACTTAAAAGGTAAATTGAACAGCCTTCTTGAAACCAATTAAAGAAGAGACTTTCTGAAAAAAAAAAAAAAGGGTAGTTAATGAAATATTTCTTGCATGACATTTTCCAAGCATATATAAACATGCATAGTGATCTTAAAGGTTTTGTTGTTCTGTAAACTGTTCATAGGTTTTCTTCTTTCTCTCAATTTAAAATAACTGCAGTATGAAATTCAGAGCATTATATGTATTTTTGCTATGCAGCAAGCCTGACATGCTGGATATGAATCCTAGAAATATGGAATTCTAAGATAGATACTTACAAGTGAATATTACAATTCAGAGAGCTATTGGAAAAATTAGAGGGAAATTGGTTTTTAAGGAATGGTGTGTTCATTACTCAGGGACAGGGAAGGTTTCTTACTTAATTGATTATCACATAATTTTCAACAGAACAGGTGAATGCAGTATCTCTACACAATTCTCAGTCCTGTCTTTCTGTAGAAAAAAGATTTTTAAAGCTTTGAAAACAAACTTGTTTCTTCTGTTACTAGTTGGTCCCACAAATCTTCTGCTGAGAATGATGGGATTACAAGGATTTAAAGACCATTAACTGAGCTGCTGACTTGATAGTTCTGTACCAGGGAATGTGTTAGATACAAGGGTCACTTGTTAACTCTTGTTTTGTTTCAGTGCTGTGGGAGCTGAGTGGAGACTTCCATTTAAAGCCAGTACTAAATAGTTGAATGTTCTTGCAGTCAAGTCCGATTGCCCAAGTTTAGGCACGGTCAGAAAGGCCACTGAGCAAACTGGAAGCATCACAGTGTAGGTGCTATGGCAGTGCCTGTGTGCTGTTACCAGCCCAGGCACACTTCTGTTCAAGCTGTTCCATGTTGTTTGCCCAGTCAGATGCTGTGTGTGAAAGGACAGAGCTGGATGCCATCCGTTTTGCCAAGGAGATGCAGGCAGAATACTGGTCGGTTTCAGCCAAAACAGGTAAATTACTGCGAAGGGTATAAAAATAGCATAACCGCAAGGACTGATGTTGGAGTGGGAGGAACTTATTATCCCACCATTGCCAGTTTTTTTTGTTCTTCTTGTACTTTGTTCTTATGAGAAACTTCAGTCTTATTAATGGCTGATTTTATTTGACCATTTGTATTTGTATGTGTGCTTTCACTTTCGTGTATGCAGAAAGAAACAATCAAGCTGCTTTGCAGTATCTGAGCATGTATAATTCATAGATAGTTACATAAACACACATGTGCACTACTACTCAACGTTTGCAATGGAAAAATATTATACCACAAAATTAATTCTCTCTGTTGCTGGCTAAAAATAAAGGTGCAGCACAGGGTACAGTATTCCAAAGTAAGAAAATTAGAAATTCTTTCTGCAGTTATCAGAATGGGAGATGGATTGTTGGAGAGGCCTGTTCTGTCCAAACATTGAGCAGTCAGCTGTTCACAGATGTGCTTGTTATGCTTGATCATCTGTTGATATGCCTTTATAAAAATACATCATTTCTGTCTTGTTTCCTAGGAGAAAATGTCAAAGAATTCTTTTCCCGAGTTGCTGCTTTGGCCTTTGAACAGTCCGTGATAAAGGAGCTGGAGAGCACCCCTGGGCACAGGACCCAAATTAGGGCAGGAAATCTCATCAGTATGTGAAGTTTTGCTTTTTGTGTGCATTTTTCTTGTTTATAGTCCAAAGGATTGGGGAGGTTTTTCAAGCATTAGAGCCAGTTTCAAACACCTGCAAGCATATTTATATCATTGTCTGCCCAGGTTTTATCCTACAGGAGTGACTGGGCCTGCATTCAGCTTTTATTAGCCTTAATATCAGATGGTGTAATTTCTTGTACGTTGATTTTATAACTTTTTGTTTCCACAGAGCTAAAGAAGAACATTGTGGAAATTCCAGAAGACAATGCTCAAGTCAGCCTGAGTTGTTGCTAACTGTCAACTGTTTCTGCGAGTGCAACAGTGCTCTCAAACCAGAAACAGAGAGCTTTAATTTTAGAAATGAGGGAGGAAAAATTTGCCCAAACTTTCTTGCTGAGAGTTCCCTTGCTGCTGCAGGCTCCCTGTGCTGGGGGGTACAATAGTGATGTAAACATTTCTCTGTGTAGCTGAAACATAGCAACCTTGTCTTAATGCAAGAAGACATTGCCAGTGCCATGGGCTCACCTGTCTGCCAAAAAGGCTTGTAGTCAAAAATGATCTCATTTTAGTGTGTAGTTTTTTGATAATTCTCTAGAAATCTTAGCTAGTAAAGTGGCATTCTCTCATGGGAGCAGAAACAGGTGGCAGTTCAGAATGAAGGGTGGTATCAATACAGTTTTGCCTTTTAAAACCATCATGCAAAATAACTCTAATTGCTTTTATGCATTCCAAGTATTTTAAAACTATTTGAAAATAAATCTTTTCAAGTATCAGGCTTGGAAGTACACAAATGCAGACTGCATAGTTTCCACTGTGGTTTCTCCATACAGGAAAAATGTTTATTACTTTTCATTTTCCACTTGAGAATCAGAGCCCAGTATTAAACATTTCCAAGCCTAAAAGAAGTGCAGGTAGGAACTTTGTTGTTTTAACACAGCTGTCTATATTTTGAAAAATGTTGCCAGATAAGACTGCTGTTCTTTTCCATTCTCTTGAATAAAAAAGAATGGTCACACAGGTGCATAAAATGGAAAATATATTATTTCCCTCTAATTTTTTCAATAGTTCTCTGAACTCTAATACTCTGTTGTATCTAGCTTAGAATTCCATGTTTCTAGGATTCATATCCAACATGTCAGGCTTGCTGGCATAAAAAAATATATAATGCTATAAATTTGATATTGCAATTATTTTAAATGAAGAGAAGGAAAACCTATGAACACTTCCAAGGTACTGTTTCTTAGGATATTGATTCAATCATTGCAGAAACAACAGTATCTTTAGAAAGAATTCTAACAGGACTCAGATTTGAGACGCTGAGAAATAAAGACATTTGTTAAGGAAGAGATTCTTCAATCTGAAAATATTCTGGATTCTCTGCCATTTTTCCCACTTCTATAAGAAATGGGAAAAAGTAGAGTAAAGATAGCTTGAGCATGCTTTTTATTACTTTTTCCTTTTGACGTAAGTTAGAGCAGCTTCCTAGAATATGATGAATAGAGATCTAGGAACTCTGTGTCTTTTTTTATCAGACAGTCTTCACTTTGGCAATTGTGCTGTCTGTTGGCAAGGACACAAATGTAGCATTTGGTGGAAAAAATGAATCTGTGAGGGTACAAAAGGAGCTCTTTATCCAAATGTATAATATTTCGACCTTATGATGTTCTATGCAGTTGTTAAATTCCAGAGTCTGTTTCACAAGGGAGGTGAATTTACACTGTGCTTATACCACAGGCCTTGGCTGTGTGGACATGGCCTTTGTGTTTCCTGAGCCTGAGTGAGAGTGGAGATGGTTCACTCTGCTGCAGCAGGTCAGGTTAAGCTGGGCTTCAGTGCTGACATGAGAGACAGTGATTACACTGCAAAATGACTCAGGAACAAATCTAAGACAAGATCCATTTTTGGGTTTTTTGTTTGTTTGTTTGGTTTTTTGTTTGTTTTTTTTTTTTTTTCCTCGCCAAGAAATATATCTCCTAAGGGTTTCTTCTGTTGCTGAGCTCAATTATTGTACAAAGTCACAGAGATGCAATCTCTTCAACAACATGATCATGTTGCCTGGGAAATCAACTGGGACAGTTTTTTCCTAGGGATTCAGCACATTGCACGATGTCATTACTGTTTTGTATCATCTGGAGCTCCAAAAACTTCACATACAAATGTAATAGTCTATCAATCATCAGCTATCATGGAACAATAGCCTGAGTCTGTTTATTAAATGATGGATGCTTTGAGACTGGGTGTTTTTTATTTGGTGGTTTGTTGGGTTTTTTATTGTCATTTTTTGTTTGTGTGTTTGGATTTTTTTGCTTGCTTGGTTGGTTTTAAGGGTGTTTTTAACACCCCTGAAACCTCCCCTGCAAATAACTCCGTATTAATGATTTATCATCTAAGACGAATCTTGGATCGTGTTGCAAATGACGAGTTGCTTAGAAAAGCACAAAGGAAACTAACTATAGAAAATCAATATAAATTTGTAAGTTCTACCTGGCCATTCTATCAGTAAATTAATTGACTTTAAAGAAGCCTTAATATTTTGAAAAACAGTGCTGAAAAAACTTTATTAACTCTAATTGTAGGTAGACCAAACCACAATTTCTATGCCAGTTGAAATCCCCCCAGTGATCATGGCAACAGTCACAATTTTGGCTTCCTTGTGGAATTTGCAGGTGAGACATTGAAATAAACCTTGGAGCCAGTCTGAAGCTAAGGTAAAGAGCAATTGTAACAATCCATTTCCCAAAAGAAGTACTGAAGCTGTGCTGTTTCTTGTCTTTAATAAGTAAAGCTAATGTGTTCATGGATTGTGGATGCATTTGTGCTGAGCAAACCCACTGGTAATGGATAAAAAGCCATTTAAGAAAGCCACCTGACAAAGTTAATTTCTTACTATAAAAACCTGCTCTTTTAATTTTTAATGGTGATATTTCACCTGTTGAGTTATTATTTGACACTTAAGATATGATTGTTTATACTTACATAGGTCATGGGATTCAGAACTCTCTGAATCCTGTTGGTTCCCAGCTCAGGTTTACATCGTGGTAGTACTGGAGTCCATTCTCCATGAATAAATCTGTCCCCTTTGTGTTTTCGGCTTCCATTAATAGTTAGAGGTTGTTCTAATGTAACACACTGGTGAGTGAATGCTCTGAGAGCACGTAAGTTAAAATTAAATGTTTGGCAAGTTGTAGGAGAATATGTATTTGGTGTGGTGGAGAGGGTTGATAACTTTCCTGTATTTTTGGCCTGGAAGTTGTTCTCACAGTAAGAAATTGCCATTGTCTGAATTTGGAGAAGGAGTGTTCCTTTTCTCCCCCCCAGGTTCATAGAAGGATTTAGACTGAATGGGACTTCCCCACACTTGTCAGCTTTATCAAACTCCTCCAAGAGTGCTGCTTTGTGTTAACAAAAATACGATTTTTTTTTTTAGTTTCAACCACATATTAATCAGAAACCATGTTTTGTTTCTTATTTTAAAAGCTCACCTTATTTCCTACGGGTTTTTGTTTGTTAATTTGTTTTTTTTTGTCCTCAAAACCCCGCGGTTCTTCCGTGTGGGATGATGCTGAAGACCCAGAGCCAAGCGGCTCCTTCTTCCCACCAGAGGGAGCCCGGCGGTCGCTGCAGGATCTGCTCCGGAGGCGCTTTGCGATCTCTCGCCGGCCGGCAGAGGGGATGTGCCGGGCAGGCCGGCCCGAGTTTAGCCCCTCATCGCAGCATTCTCAGTCTCAAATCACAGGTATGTGTCTGCCACCGTAGTCTTAAAGAAATTTTGTATCCAGTTAAAATACTGCTCTCTTCGATGCATAAAGTATCAGCAAAAATTCAGAGAACTTCAATTCCCAGTGGAATTTCTGGAGTTGTGCTACCTCAGTAGATAAAGAGGGTGTAGTTGTTTATCAGTATTATTCACTAAAAGGTAAGTGTGCACACAGAAATCCCTCATGTGACTCATTACAGTTTTTACTCCCTCCAGAAAGGACACTAATGTCAGAAAAGTGGACCCAAATAGAAACCACTCCAAAAATAAATCAGAATGGTGAGCCTTCAGTAAAAGTTCTGTATGAATTCAGAACAGATCCCAGTGATGTCATATACCTGCTGTTGTTTATAACCATGCCAGTAAAATCTTATTATTCCTAGAAATACATTGCATGTCGGAATTTTGTTGGTCAAACTGCCACTAAGCAAAAAAATAGTATCAATAGAGAAAAGGCAGTTTATTTCTGTGACAGATTGAGATGTGTTGAAAGATTTATAGAGTTATTTATTAAACATATAGATTTTATAACTATTTAGGTCATAATCTGTTTTCCATATAGGTCAGCCAATGCCTGTTATGTGTTAAAAGCTGAGGAAACAAGTGCAGGAAAAGCAGTTAAAGCCAGGAAACAAAACCAAGAGCGATGAACTATGCAAAAGTGAATGCATGAGTAGCCATTTGTGATATAGCTGAAAGTACCCCAAAATATTTTCATTGGCGTATAAAAAAGCATGGAGAGGAAAACTGTTTAATGGATTTCGAAACAGTACATATCTCAAAGGTAAGAGAGCTACTCCAGTGGAGTTGTGCTTTTCATTCCTATGGGATTTTATTGGTTCTTATCAGGGCTATATCCCACTCTCTTTTCTAGCAACATGTACCAGAAAAATATGCTTCACCACAAACACGAAAGGAAACAGTTTTATGGGGGATATGAGAGGTACATATCATCTTTGCCTGTCCTCCAAACAGGCAAGATGGAGCTTTGGTTGTTTTTCACCCTTTTTTTCAGAGGTTGAATTAGTACATGGAAAGGACACATGCTGTAAGCAAGGTTAAGAAGGAAGTGTGATGGTGTGATTTCAGAAGGAAAATAATACCCAGCACCCAGAATTCTGTTTAAATCATTTGCCACCCTTCACCCAGAGGTGAAGTGTGGGACTGAGTTACTGGGGCTAAATAATATACAAGACAAAAGTGAGACTAATGCCCAAAAAAACGGCCTTTATTGTCAGTATCAGAGTAGCAGCTGCCCATCTCAGAGATCCAGTTTATAATTTACTGGCAGGAAAGGTAGGATTGAGGGAATGACAAGCGTGCTACTAACCAGCACTTACATGAGTGGGGGAAAATGTGACCTTTGAAGGTGAGCTGCATCAATGCCTGGGGGGAGAGCCTTGTTATGAACATAAGAGAGAGCATAGAGACGTGCTGATGTTTATACATAATATATGAGGGCATGGCTGTATGGACGGGAATGGATACCTCCCTATGCACACAGGGCTGTGTGCATGGCATGTTCTTAACCAGGCTTAGCTACGGTCATATCCGTACGGTGTGAGGATGCCCAGGCCTGTGGCTGCAAGGGCGAGCGGGCGGGACTGCTCACGACTTTGCCTTTGTCTCACGGAGAGCCGCGGGGAAGGCGCTGGGGCCCCCACCCCCGCGGGTCCCCCGGCCCGGCTGCCCCTTTAAGAGGCCCCAGTGCCGTGTCAGTGCCTGCGCCGGGTCCTTCCCTCCCCTCCCCTTCCGCAGCGCCGCCGGAGCCGGGCCGCGATGTGCCGCCGCGGGCAGCGGGGGCTGCGCCGCCGGGGGGGCTCCCGCGGGGCCGCGGGGCGCTCGGGCACCGCCGGGTAGCGGCGGAGCTCGGCCGGGACGCGCCCCGCATCGCCGCCCCGCGCGGGGACCGTGTGCGCCCCGAGCGCAGCACAATAGCCGGGAGGAGGAGACAGGGAAAGGGGCAGGGGGAGAGGAGGAGAGAGAAAGAGAAAGCACAACACGGGGGCTGGCGAGGCAGCGCGGAGCGGAGGGCTCCGAGCGTGGCCGCGCTGAGGACCGTGCCCAGGACGGCGGCGAGAGGAGGTGGGTGGGGGGCGATATTTACCTTCCCTCCCCCGCCCCGAGCCCGCTCCTTTGTCCACGCGCTTTGAAGTGCTGGGGGATCGCCAGGGTGGGAGCATTGTTGTTCGCCAGCGAACGATCAGTCATGCTGGGGAGAGAGTAGCGAGTGTACGCGGGGCTGAGGCCGGCAGAAGCCGAAGGAGACGGGGAGGAGAGACGATTGCGAGAGAGGATTGCTGCCTGCCTCCCAGTGCCCTGCATGGACCGCGAAAGAGACGCGCTGAGTTGACCCTGCCCGAGCTGTTTCTGCTTCTACATGTGAGATCCGGTTGGTTTTTTCTTTCCACCTCTTTCTCTCCAGCCTCCTTCTCGTATTCTCCACTTACTCCCGTATGCAAAATGGTGGACCCTGTGGGGTTTGTAGAGGCTTGGAAAGCACAATTTGCAGACTCTGAGCCTCCTAAAATGGAGCTGAAGTCTGTGGGAGACATTGAACAGGAACTGGAGATGTGCAAAGCATCTATCCGGAGACTGGAGATGGAGGTTAATAAGGAGAGGTTCCGCATGATTTACCTGCAGACTCTTCTGGCAAAGGAGAAAAAAAGCTATGATAGACAGAGATGGGGTTTTAAACGTGTTTCTCAGTTGCCTGAAGGGGGTGCAGAGCAGCAGATCCAGGACCTGCATCATCACCAGTCTGCTGACCAAGACGAATATGAAAAAAGCAAGTCACATCATGGGGAGGAAAAGTTCAAACCACGGATACCCTCTATGCGGAAGCTGTCTACCCAGAGTGATGGGTCAGACCTGTCGCCTTTGGACAGCCCCCACCATGGAGAAGGAGAGCAGGACAGGTGTAAGTACTATGGTGAAGAGAAACTGAAGAGAGTTGTAGAAGACATGGAGAATCGCTGTGATACAGATGGCTCTCCTTCAAAACACAGATCGGCTTCCAGTCGCAGGCTGGTGGGATCTGCTGAGAAGGAGGGATCATTTGAACCTAAGGAGAGAGGGAACAGCACCAGTGTGGCAGCCCTAAGGTCCAATTTTGAGAGAATGAAAAAGGTTAATTCACATTCTTCTGGTGAAAACAAGGATGTTATTGAAAAGCCCTTTTATGTGAACATGGAGTATCATCATGAGAAGGGTCTAGTAAAGGTCAACGATAAAGATGTTTCTGATAAAATAAGCTCCCTTGGTAGCCAAGCCATGCAAATGGAACGAAAAAAGTCTTTGCACTCCCTGCCTTCTAACATGGTACCCAGCTTCAGCGAGTTCCAGAGGCCTGCCTACAGGGGAAGGTCCTCAGAGAGCAGCTTTGGCTACGATGGAGAATATGAGGATGCTGAACTGAACCCCAAGTTTCTTAAAGATAACCTGATTAATGCCAATGGCAGCAACCGCTCACCT